CCGCCTCCGGAGGAGCCCGAACGCCGGCAGAGGTTGGGAGGAGGCCGGCGATGCTGCCACGCGCGGCCCCGGCAGCACGGGCAGATTCCTACGGCGTGACTGGAGCGGCGCGGCTGTCCCCGAGTGCTTCCTCCTGCCGCGTCCCGTCAGCAGAGCCAGCCGGGCAGGCAGCGTTTGCGTCAGGGCCACCCGGCGAGGCCACCCGGCCCTGGCGTGGTGCGGGGAAAAACAGTAATTAGTGTCATCCTTGACAGCGGCACTGCCCAGCGCCGTGTGGGCAGTGGCACGGCCCCGGCTGGGTCAGGCCAGTCCAGCCGCCCCAGTCCCAGCAGGATGAGACCTTTCGGCACAGGGCACATCGACAGGAGTGGGTGTGGGGACAAGCAGGGGTTTTTGGCTGGGAAGAGGGGTCTTGGAACTGGAGCATCTCTGCTGGGATGCACTGGCTCTCGTGGCAGCTGCCGGCCCAGGAGGGAGCCAGGCAAGGGACACTTACCCCACGGTAGCCCACAGTCACACCCAGAGAGGGTGACGGGGGCCGGCATCCCCCCAGCGCACGCCGGGTGATGATGAAGCGCGCAGGGAGCTGGCAGCAGGAGAGGCGGTGGGGCATCCCCGCCGGCTGGCGGCCAGGCTGGCTGGTGGCCCTGCTGGCGCACGTCCTTCTGTGCCAGCCAGGGGGGAAACCCTCGCCGGCACTGCCCAGGGACCCTGCTCGGCCCCACAGTGGGTCAGCGAGCCGGGACGCCAGGCCCTGAGGACAGGCAGGGCCAGGGCAGCCAAACCCCACCCCGGCCGAGCCCTCCGCTGAGGAGGCTGGTGGGGGACAGCCTGAAACCAAAGGGCGAGCCCCTGACCCCAAAGGGCGAGCCCCGCTGCCACGTCTGCCGGGACAGGGCGAGCATGGGATCAGCCCAGGACCATGCCGGTCCTGGAGCCCTTCTGTTGGCAGGGTGGGTCGCAGCCACCCGCCCACAGCTGGAGGGAGCCGGGCTCCACATGGGCCCTGGCCACATCTTTCCCCTTCTCCGTGACGGGAGCAGCACTGGGCCGAGGTCCCCGGGCCAGACCCCAGCACATCCCATGGCAGGATAGGCGCAGGCAGGGACGGTGGACCTGGGGCCCTGCCTGCACCCTTGACCCTGCCCGCCGCAGTGCTGTCACCCCAGCCCGGCCGAGGCCTCGTCACCAGCCCAGGCTGGGGGACGGCCGGGTGCCCCCTGGCTCAGCCAAGGCCTCGGGGGGGAGCAGGGCACGCCGACCCCCGGCCGAGGCCT